TTCTTACTCGAGACATGTTGATACCATTGTATCTGCATGTCAATAACTTTATTAACATGTTGAGAACACATTTTGTCGTTCTAGGAGGAGCGGCTGGTGTCTCTAAGAGACAGCAAGTACCTGCAAAAGGTGGTGCGAGAGATGGTGGGACGCCTGTTCTCAAAGCAAATCCAAGAGCAGTTCTCCCTCCAGAGCTACCGAGGTAAGTCAAGGTTCAAGGACGTCATGATCTGCAAGATCGTCATCGGTGATGCATATTCATTACCAGCTAATAAATTGATGATATTGCTATTGGAGCACAATAGACAAGAAAAATCTTTGATGTAGGTTGACAATTAAAGTGAAGCTGAAACACTTCTGAAAACAAAAACCAGTTAGAGGTGACTTCTGGCCTCTTTTTGTCATGTGAATCTGAATATCGCTCTCATTTTCCCCGAAGGTGTAACTAGACGCGAGAAAACGCGAAAATCTTGAGACCAGTCATGACGTCGTACTAGGATCTTTGGGGCGCCAAACAATGTGTCGCTCGTGTGGGCAGCGCGTGCAATTTCAAGCTTGCCAGTTGTATTTTTCCACTCTGATGCCTGTCGTGACGTTTATTTGTAACTTTTTTTTTTTTTTTTAAATAGCAAAAGTTTATGTGCATATGTTTGACAGGCGCTGAAGATGCGCGAAAGCAGAGATTCCGAAAACTCTTAGTATGAAGTCACGCCCCGGGAAGGAGGGGCTTCAGCTGTACATTAGAAATTAATTTCTGCAGCCTCCATGCACCAGATTAAAAAATAAACTCGATATTTGTGATCTTGGCGGCCAATTGAAGACAAATTTGATGTTTTTCCTCAATTACATAACAACTTCAGTTTCCCTTTAAGTCTTGCAGTATGCAAACTTTAGGTCGTCAATTCCTGTCGTTTTTTTTTATTCAATTTGCATTCTTTTTTATGAATAACTCCTGTGTTAGCATTCTCGGAATCTTCGTACTCAAAAGCAACGTTTTGAAGTAACGGTGAAAAAATATTTTGTTGGTCTTGCCTCGTTATCCTGTTAGTTTCCAGGTTGAAAATCTAATGAAGACCATTTAGAGGCCTCGGTCTGCAGAGCGTCAGTTGGGGAAGTTTTGCTCTTTTTTTAGCCACTCATCTCTGCGCCCCGCCCCCTCTCGCCCCCATTTCAGATCAATAGGATGTTGCATGAAATAGCCATATGCCTTCATAGAATCTGCACCTTAGCGCGGTAGCCAAACCCAAATTCGTTACCTCTGTTGTGCTCTCTTTCCGTCACCTTTGAATTGCAGGCTAGGTGAGGGACCTATATTTACACAAAGGAAACGTTCATAAACTGTAGGGTGCGAAGAGCACCTTGTGTGTAGCTAGTATGCAAGATATTGGCTTCCCCTATTCCTGAACTAATCTGTGTGATCTGACAATTCTCTTTGCAGGTGCCATACAAAGTCGCGCTCAAGGGTGCAGCGTGGACGCGATGGAGGAGTGGCTGACAGGCAGGGAGGCGGGCAGGGGCAATATAGTTAAAAAGACGGACACTCCACTGGTGGTTCCAACCGCCTTTGACGATGAGGGACACTCTGGCTGAGGAGCTAGCTGCTATGGATGCACGAGTCACAATGAAGAACGTTACGGTAAAAAAAAAAAAAAAATTCTACGTTCTCTTCTTGTATTACCCACAATATGCATTTGGGCGACAGATGAATGGGACGTGTCGTCTCAACAAGTATACAATAATTGCCATGAGTATACTGCATACACGGAGAAAGTAAATTGTTCACACAAAATTTTTTCTTTAAACGGCACAAATACTAAACTGGCGTGTTTCGGTTCAAATCCGGAAAAAAACGTACTAAAACGGTCAGCACTATAAGATTTATGAAAACCAATAAAATAGTTCGTGGTTGAAAAACCCCGAGACTGCGAGTAACCGACACTACACTAAAAAGTCTCTAAGAGACTTTTCGAGACTTTTTAGTGTTGTGTCGTTTACCCGCAGCCTCGGGGTTTTTTCAACCATGTGCAATGTACACCAGCTCGTTTGAACCCTTACTTTTTGTTCAAAATAGTTCGTACTGAAAAATTGAGCATTTCCAGATTTCAGTGAATTTGGTCTACTGAGATCTAGCTCTTCAAAATTTTAATGTAGTAGGATGTCATACCTAGGCTCTAAAGCCTGACACAGCAAGCATTCTAGTGGTTCTATGTTGGGTACACTGAATGACAAATACGCTGGCGCTGATCCGCGATTGCTCTGGCAATGACCCGCAATTACGCTGGCACTGATCTGTTATTACGCTGGTACTAATCCGCAACTGAACTGGCTGTGACCCGGAAATACGCTGGCACACTGATGGTCTGCTACCGTAACACCGGTTCCGTGCCGGGAATCTGTGTCGGGAGCTCACCGGGAACATCCCGTATTCCCGACATCCCGGTTTCCCGATAAGTCCCCGGTACCGGCCGGATTCCGGCATTCGGCCCGGCCGAAGTCGCCCCTTGGGGCGTTTCAGGTACTGGCCGGTATTAGTATCCCGGGAGATCAATACCGCCCCTTCCCCTACCCGGCATGATGTGCTACTTGGGTAGTACTATCGATAGTCGACTTTAAAAAAAACTATTAATAATACTAACGAATTCGATTATCGAAAAGCTATGGATAATTGACCATCGGCATATTACGTTAATCGACTACCGGAAAACTATCGATAGTCGACTATCGTAACACTGTTGATAGTACTGTCGAGGGTTTACTATCGATAGTTTTGCGACACTAGTAGTTTGCGTCGCACCCCCTTCCCTTTTCTCGCTTTATTTTTTCGAATAGGACACCAACTAGCCCAAGCACTTACCTTCCCAAGTTTGGTTCAACTTTCAGCGATGACGAAGGCGGGAGTTTGGGTGAAGAGAGGAGGAAGGGAGGCGAAGTGGCGGTGCGGAAGCCAAGGTATATGTACATGGGTAGCGAAGCTTCGGCCAAAAAGCGGTTCAAAACAAATTGCCAGCGACATCGACCTGGAGGGTCACGTGAAGGATGCGATTGAAGCGCGACTAGGAGAGGTGGGGACAAACATTATTAAAATTAATTAGTTTGTGACTAGAAGTATAATCATTAGTATTTTTAAACAAGCTAAATATAATTATTAGATAATATCAATTATATTTAACGCGCTACAAAATTCAAAACTGTCTTTGTTTTTGCTAATATTATGCATACTTCTTATTAGCGTCCTCTGTACGCCATTAGCAAAAAGGCCGACTAGCAATAGCGATATTTGCAGTTTTTTGTAGACCTCGTGGCGCGCGGAAAGGCAAGCTGCTGACGTCCGTCTGCTTTTTTGTGTTTGAGCCTCCACGTGCTCTTCGCTTTTAAATGTTTTAGCGGCAGTTAACACCGTTTCGGGAGTTTTGTTGTTTGCTCAGGTGTGATTAGCCCAGTTACCTGCGCGGGAACTCGGCTATCGTGCTCTTGGATCTTGGACGCTACTGCGCCCAAGGGGCTCAACGTCTTTTGCGACGATGAGCACAGCGTGATACGCAAAGAAACGGTGCTCCGTGGAAATGTGTGAAAGCAACACCCGCACGGCTGGCACCTCGCTGCACCGGTTTCCCCTCGACTCTCGAAGGTGAGACTTCGCTACTGTCAGTGACATGCCTGCTGTGTAATGTATGCCCCCTTGTTCGGTCTTCTCTTAACTCTTGTTAGTTTTACCTAAAACTTTTAGGGTTGTCTGGATGTGCACAAGAAACTACACCTGAAGGTGTAATATGTTATACTAGGATAGTTTGAACTTCGAAATCACTCTGACTTCGCAGCGTTGTGCGCCGCCATTATAAAAGTGCCCACGATATTAAAATTTACCTGTACCGGCTGACTCTGAGGAGCCTAGTGTCGTGATTATCGGCGTGGTTATCAGTGGTACAGCACAGATATATAATTGGGCATCTGTGCGTAAGACTGGTGTTTTTACTCTTCATGATGTACACAGAGCGTTGATGTCATGCATTTGATTTGCTTTGGTTTGTGGTCATTTTGGCTACATTTTCTTTTCGTAAGTATTCACGGCACCCTCATAGCACCATGCCTTATCTGCAGGCGTGAAGCCTGGGTTCGGTTCTGCAACAACCGAAGTCTACAGGGGAAGACTCTATGGCAGCTACGAGACAGGGTAGTTTGCTCCTTACATTTCGAGGAGTCAGCTCTCCTGCGCCCTGGACACCTCCGTCACAATGCGTTTCCAAGTGTCCTTCCCACAAAAAGTAAGCAGACCAATAAATCTTCCGTGCACTTTGTGACTAAACATGGTTAATCCGCTCTTAGAAAAATAGTTACTACATGGGGTTGAAATATTGCTTTTGTGGGCTCATAACATTTTTATATTATTTGCAGAGACGACACATGGCGACATTTCCAGCAAAAGCTCTCCAGGTTTAGCAGTTGTGCATGGTGAGCTTTTTCACTATAACTAACATTAAGTGGCAGCAACTGCCAGCACCACTGCATTACCTCATGGTCTTCATGACTTGAGCATTTTGCAAAAGCACTAGGTGAGATTAGCTGGGAAAAGCTGGTTGAACATGGACAGAGGTACTGCTAGAAGTTCATTTCAGGCCCGTTTATAATGGCATGTTTTGCTTGAGGTGACATAATCAACGTCAATATTGGTCCACAGAGCATATTTTGCCTTGCCGACAACCAGTCTTCCATAATAAAGCTGCCCATGAAAGAAAGTGATTTACATTTTGTGTTCAAATAGGCGAATTCACCATAAATTTGCAAAGGTGAGTGTGACACACTCATTGAGCTACACATGCTTCGGCAGTTCAGACTCACGGAGCTTCTGTAGTCACCCTGACGACCAGTCTTCCGAAATTAAACTTTCGTGGGAACAAGGTGATTTTCTTTTTCGTGTGTTAGAATAGACACATACGAAGGAACTCAACTACTATGCCATGCCTAACTTCACGCTAAATTTGCAGAGACGATTTCGCCAGCCTCATCGAGCTGCACATACTCCGGCCACTCAGACTGGTGGAGTTCCTGTAGTCACCCTGACGACCAGTCTTCTGGATTAAACCTGTCATGAACGACGGTGAATATACTTTTTATGCATTCAAATAGGGGAATAAGGGGGTCTTCAACCTCTTCTCCTTTGCTAAGTTCACATTAAATTTGCAGAGCGGATTTCTGTGGCTTCATTGGACCACACATACTCGTGCACCTTAAGGGGTATTCACACGAGAGAGAAATCCCGGGGATTTCTCCCCGGCACGAGCAACCCACGACGAAAATGCCAGGCTTTGCGATGTGCAAAATCCTCGCGTTTTCATCTCGTGATGCGCACGTGCCGGGGAGAAATCCCCGGGATTTCTCCCTCGTGTGAATACCCCTTTACTAGAGAACAGTCGACTAGGGGCCCATAATAAGTGGTGGCCGAATATTGCTTGTGTTATCTTTTTATTCCCTTTTCTTTATGAGCTTGCTTTCTTAAGCGGTAGAAACAGCGCAACTTGACGAAGGGCGGGAAACAAGGAGTATACAGACAGGCGCAGTAAAAGTACACAGAGAGGCACTGTTTCTGCCAGCTTAAATGAACGACCAACTCGCCCAACTTTCCACTCTGTTGAACTTGCTTTCTTACTTGCAGTTTTTACAGAAGCTTTCCTTTGTTTCTTTCTTTTTTGCGGTTGATCACCGCTGCGCTCTACGTCAAGATGCTGCTCCTGCTCAAGACTCCAACGGGGACGTGGCTGACATGAAGATTTTGGTTTCTTCACCGTCGCCTAGAGACTCTCTCTCTGGCTGTGCTGCTGGGCCTTCTCACAAATGTGAGTGCTTTCTATCATGCGAACTTTTTTCTTTTGCAGTTTTTTTTTTTTTTGTTAAGTTATAAAAGATCAGGCCGCAAAAATAAAAAGCCGAGGCTCGAAAAACACCAGGGGATACTAAACTTTATCTTGAGAGCAGATGACGTAGGGGGTCACATAACACCAGACAGACTAGCTGGCAGCTACAAATCGAAGTTTGTTCAAAGTTCACCACATTTTTGTTTCACGGTATTGTCATTGTCAAGCACACAAAAAGACAAAAAAAAAGTTCCACAAGCAGGTGTTAACACCGTCAAATCAAAACTGCTGAACCGGTTTCACTGTATCATAAGTCTTCCCGCAAAACCTCACGTAAGACAGTGTTTCTTAAAGTTATCGAAAAGCTGCTGTGGTCATATGTCTGTGATGCTGAGCCTGTCGTGGTCCCTTGTCCTATCTGCCAAACTTTAGTTGCCTGTTGTTGTGCGGGCGCTTCACTGATAGAGTGCCATGGGCATAAGTAAGCTATGGTCAAGCTTTAAGAAAATGCATTTCACAGTTTGGATGCCTACTCTGACTTGCATGTTTCTGTGTGCGCCCTTGTCTTTTTGGACTATCAGGTCTCTGGCCAACATGAAGCACCTAGTCCAACATAAAGATGTACTGCTGCTTTCCTAAACTTGAATTGCATGTGTAGTTTGTCACACTTGCTGTTCTTGTTTAAAGACACATCAGATCATTGAGGAATATTCTTGAGCGTGAAGTGGTTACACATTTATTAAATTGATGGCGAATGCAAGTTTTTCTTGGAGACCTAATCTGGGTCATTTGCCAAATTGCAGCACCCTGCAAGAGCCGCAGCATCGGCAGCAAGAAGGTGAACGCCCTGAGAGCCAAGGTGCGACAGCTTCAAGAGCGTCATAAGAGGCTGTAAAGAAGGCTGCAACGACAACGCCGGATGAGGACTGTTGCCGGAGTCGTTGAGAGTGTCCGCGTTCATGTGTCTCCTCCTGTCGCCGCACTCATTGAAGCCCAGCTTAGAATGAGCAATGTGATACGGTTTGGCCAGAGATGGTGCAGCCACAACAAAGCCTTGGTTTTAGGCCTCTACTTTCATAGCCCCAAAGGCTATAAGTATTGCAGGCGACTGCTCAGGCTGCCATCAGTAAGGTCACTGCAGCTATGGCTTCAGCGTGTGCCACTAAAGGTTGGATTTTACCCTGGCATTTTCGAGCTGATAAAGAGCGGGCAGCTTCTTTTTCTCGAGCCGATCGGGCCTGCAGCATAGTCTTTGATGAAATGCACGTCAAAAAACAGCTTTCATACAACCCCTCGTCTGACAGGTTTGAAAGACTTGAAGAACATAGTGGACAGCAAGGCAAAAAGCTGGCAAATTAGGCTCTGATGTTCGTGGCGAAAGGAGTCGGAACACCGTGGAAGCAGCCGCTTGGCTATTTTTTGCTCACAAAGGCACACCTTCAGATGTACTAAAAGATCTCTTTTTCCAGTACCACAGCGCCCTTGTGGACGCTGGCCTGGAGCCGGTAGATGTTGTATGCGCTGAAGGGTGCCAGAACGTGTCTCTTTTTCAAGCATCGTAACTGCCGAAAAGCCTTACGTAGAGATCAATGGCAAGTCACTTTTTTTTTCGATGCTCCGCACCATTTGAAGTGACTCAGAAACATGTTATTCAAATACGACTAAAAAGTTGGTGATTACATTGTGAAAAGTTCTTACATCAAGGAAGCTGATGAAAAGGGCCATAAACTTGAGATCCGTTCTATGCCAAAGCTGAAGGAGAATCATTTTAATTGGACCTTCTCGTCAAAGATGTCGGTGAAGCTAGCAGCTCAAGTGTTTAGCAATCACTGCGCAGCTGCAATGTATGCCCTTGTTACTTTTCAGTAATTGCCAGCCACAGCTGTTCACACAGCAAGATTCGTTGAAAGAATCGACCGTCTCTTTGACAGCCTAAATAGCTCGCAGAAATCTGCAAAGACGCCATATGCCTCTGCAATGTGTAACGGCTCTATTCATGAGGAGTTTCTGAAAGGGTGCATTCTGGTTTTTAAAAGCCTGCAAGTACTCGGATGTAGAAGGCAGCCGCACTGCATTCGTGGCTTTTGCTTGACAGTTAGGTCACTGCTGCTGCTCAGCGATCACCTCGCGGTTAATTACGGCTTTTCCCACCATTTAAACCGCCATTTGAACCAGGACACCCTTGAGAACACTTGTTTTTATACGTTCAAAATCAGGCGCAAACACGAACTCCACTTTCCGTCAATTTCAGGTTGCGTTCAGGCACCTTTTGATTAGCAACCTATTCAAGCTGTCGAAAAAATCAAACTGTGCTGACGACATGTCTCTCCTTGCTGTGTTCCCAGCAGGCCTTTTGGCACCTTCTCCTCCTCTTGCCTTAGCAAGCACAGTTTTTCTTACCACGGCAGACGATTCGCCTTCAAACTACCCTTTGGCAATAGAAGAGAACAACATGGTTTATTTTGCTGGGTGGCTCCTGACATCCCAGAAATATGAGCTGAGGAGAGAAAATGCGTGTTTTTCTGAGTGAAATCAAGTGCTCTTGTATTTGAGTGTGAAAGGCACTGCCGACTCCCACTTTGGAATCCTCTCAGTTCCTTCTGCTTCTTTCAGATTATTTGTTGAAGCTTGTGAGGAAGTCTTCGAGACATGTACCAACAACCTAATTTCAAAGGAGAACGCACGGCGAACTCGTTGTGTCCTTTTTCACTAGAAGATTCCAAAGTCTCTGACTATATGTGACGAAAGTGTTTACGATGATTTGTTTTCTCTGATTGCCAGAGTCATTCTGCACTGGTTCGCGCGGGAAAAAAAAAGCTGACTATTTGATACAGTAGCAAAGTGTAAAGCTAGGCAGCAAGTGCACAGGCTACATATGTGAGGCCACCCAGAGTACTTTTTAAAGTAGTGCAGGCATGTTCTATTCGAGCCTTTGATTTTCTTCGGTTTCTTGAGGAGTAATGTAGTCTTCTAACCTATTCACATATATAGCGCTTAAAGCTGTGAAGCAAAACTGGTTTATGAAGTGCAGCATACCACAGGACTCCAAGACGGTTTACTCCACTTGGCTTCCTTGACCTGCACCAAACAATCGCTGCGTTGCAGTGTAGCAGCACCAGCAGATGCAAGTTAAGATATTTTCAGCATTATGGTACCTTGCCCAAGGAATGTGTAGAAAAGTGTAGTTTTTCTGTGTATTACAGTGGTGGCCTCAGTTGTCATCGGAACACTGTGGAACCTGGGATTTATTAGTGGCTGCCTATAAACTGTCAATGTCCTCACAACATCCAGCCGATTGCACAATGTCTTATGTTATAACAGTGTGCCTTATGTCCCGATCTACTAGTTTTCTTTGACCATGACCTTTTCAAAATAGTTGATACCGATTGTATAATTCTAGTGAGTCATCTGAATGAATGATTGTAAGTGGATAAAATAAAACGCGACTGTTAAAGCGACGTTGGACTTGCATAGAGTTACTGTTGTGCATTTCATACGCCCAACACACTACAGCAATTTGATTCACTCTTTTTTTCTAACATTGCATCATTTGCTTTAAGGTCTCTCACATATTTTCGAGGGATCCTGAAGGCCAAAAAGCAAAACACTGCGGCTGGGGTTTGACAACAGTGCAAAGACACGATGGTGTGACGAAATGAAACTACTCTCGTAGCAGGTCGGCTAACAAAGTCACTGCAAAAAAAAAATTTCGAACAAAATATAAGAGCAAGGGCAAATAAGGGTGTAAACGATCCAGTATTCCAGTATAGAGTAAACACAAGGTGTAAATACCCCAAGAAAAACCCGAGACTGCAGGTAAAAAGAACGACATATACACTAAAAAGTATCAAACAAAGCTCAAACACGGAGCTTTGTTTGAGACTTTTTAGTGTATATGTCGTTCATTTACCGGTGGTCTCTGGAATTATTCTTGTTTAATTTTCGCGCCAAACCGCACGCACGCATGACGTCACATTTTTTTCCGGAAGTGTCGTCATTTCCTGTTGATTTTTTGTTCCGCCGGAAGTGTCCCCACGACTCATAGATGGCGCTAAAGCAGCCCCATGGGCCGCCATTTTTTTGACATGTGGGCTTCTATGGAAGCTTCGCTACCCATGTACATATACCTTGCGGAAGCTCTGTTCGCCCTAGTAAAACAAAACTATCGATAGTACTATCGATAGCATCGATAGTCGCCTGAAATCTGACTATGAATAGTAAAAAAACTGTCGATAGTACCATTGATAGACGACCATCGAAAAACTATCGATAGTTCTGCGACACTATCTATAGTTTTTTTTTGAAAAACTATCGATAGTATCTATAGTCAATTTATCGATAGTTTTGCGTCACTAGGACGGAGCCGCCTGTGTTAGATCACGCCCATCCCGTGAAGCGCTCTTCGAAAAGGACAATTTCTTGCTGTCCGGCTGTTGTCATGACCGTTTTGTGTTTCGGGCCCCCAAGCTCGGCGTCGAGTTTCACTCTGAGGGATGGCGCACCTGTTTGGTTTCATTAGTTCAGCTACCGAATATCTCAGGAATTCACGGAGCGGCATTGTGAGTACCTCAAGATTTACATTTTTGGGACAAAGAACTGGTCAGATCGCTGTTGTTTACAGCTGCTTGTGCACGGGTTTCAGTAAACCATTTACAGAGATTTTGGTTGGTCGCAGCGGTCTGGAAAGCTGCATTTCTAAACTACGTTGTCTAATTGGTTGGTAGGCTGAAGGGGCAGAGTTTGATATGCTAAACTCAGAAGTCTAAAGCGCTAAAATTTGAAGTCTGAAGTGGTAAAGCCTGAAGGTGTAAAAGGCTGAAGTATTAAAGGTCTTGTAGGGCCCCATAACACATGACCAACCCGTCCCTTCCCCCTCCCCCCCCCCCACCCCCCTTTCCTCCCAATCACGACGCTTCTCGGCGACAGTCTGCCGAAGACTCCTTACCAAAGAATTACCCACCTCGGCCCACCCCTTCGCGGCGTCGCGTTGGCGGCACAAGTATACGCCCTAGCCCCACTGTCCCACACTCCACTCCGCTTGCAAAGTTTTACGTCACGCCGTCGCTTGGTATAAGCAGCATATCACTCCCGGCCGCCGTTGCTATGAGTCCTAGCCTCTCAAAATAAGTGTCCAGAATGCGGGTGCGGGCTTTAAACGCCCTCCGAAGCTCCTTCCGCCAGCATTAGAGACCTATGAACGCCAACCGGTTGTGGTTAACATGGATGATAAGGAATAAAATGGCTCTGTCGTTTTCCGTGCCTCGCTGAGCATGTCATATATGCACACGATAAGTAACCTTATGAATTCGTGCAAAGAAGAAGAGGGGTTTCGGAAATGTTTCGACCGCGGAAAAGTGCTGAACGACTGCATTCTTTTTGCTTTGTATTATATAACGGCTGCTTAAAGTGCTAACGGATTTCCTCGGAAAACAACGTGGCAGCAGCAGCAACTTATTAATTATGCGTTCCGCAATCGCTCGTCGGTTCCCCTGTTGTGCGAGCATTCCGGGCCAATGAATTCCTTTGCGTGTTTGAATATGTGTGTGTGAGTGTACGTTCGCTGCTTGGGCCCTCTTCTTCTGCCGTCGCAAAGGGGGGTCCCGCCGCTGAGATAGAAACAACAAAATTGTTTAAACATGAGGACGTCGAGAGCGCGGTTAAAAAAAGAGGCTTGTGAGACTCGAAATAACGTTAATTATAAACGTTTTCAAGATGTTGCAAAGTCAGGATACTAATTTGATGTGCTCTCTCGAAACAATGAAATAAAGCTTTGAATAGCGCCTTTTTTGCAGATACTTTTATTAAATTTTTGTTTCATGGCTAAAAAATGTTTAAAAAAAAGTAAAAATAGTGACGGATATGATTTCACGTGTCGAAGTTAGAGCGTTGCGAAATATGAAATCTTCAAGCAAGCGGTCGTA